ACGTGGCCCTTGACGAAGACTAGGCCTGCGGGCACCCTGGCGCCATCCAGCGCCTCGTAGGACGGTGTGGCTCGGGTCGCATCATGCATTGAGGCTGGGGTGGCATGTAGGGCCGCAGCCCCGTCGTTATAGCCAATCCCCGCCTGGACCCCAAACAGTGAATGCCCTTGGTCAGGAGCTCCGACGGCGACCGATCCGTGGGGCACTGGCCCTGCACCTCGGGCTCCGTCTGAAGCTGCGGCGTCGACAGGTGGCGCACGAAGAACAGGTGGTGCAACTCCATCCAGGACAGCCAGTGCCGCCTCGGCCTCCACACGCGGCCGCGGGACCACCTGTCCCGCAGGGCCGCGCGGGCGCGGGGCCACCTGCCCCGCGGGCCGCGGCTGCTCCGGCGCATCACTCGCCAATGCAGCCAGCGCCGCCTCGGCCCCCACACGCGGCCGCGAGACCACCTGTCCCGCAGGGCCGCGCGGGCGCGGAGCCACCTGCTCCACTGGCCTTGCCTGCTCCAGCGCCACGGCATTCAAGGCACAGTCGACCTGGAGTGGGAGGGGGGACCCAGTGACCCTGCGAGGGGACTTGAGCCCCCGCTCGATGGTGACTGCCGCGCCGCGGCTGCCTGCAGCAGCTGCCGCCTCGCCGAGGAGGTGACGGGCCGCTTCGTCCTCCGCCTCCCGCGCGTCCTCCTGGACCAGGTCGGGCGCGACGACGGTGCTGTTGCTCTCGCCCAGGCTCGCCATGGTGACGAGGTCAGTACGGCCCAGCTCGCATGCGCGCTGCGGCCCCGATGAGCGGGCTAGCGGCAAGGCGAGAAGCAATGGCGCGCATCCCCTCCAGGTCCGTCGGCATGTCGGGCGCGAGGGCAGCAGGCCACAGCTCGTCGAACTCGGCGCGCAGCGCCTCCTCGGATGCCTTGCCGATGGGGTCCTCGGCGCTGGGCACGGCTCGGGCGGCTGCTGCGCTTGCCGCGCCCACAGGGGGAGGAGCAGGGCGCTCCGTGGGCACCGCCAGCTGCGGCAGCAACTCCTCCAGGAGCTTGGACACCGCCTCGGCGTGGTCGCCGAAGCCGCGCTCCCCGCGCTTGGCCACCAGCGCTGCCTTGTTGATGCCGAACGTGTGGGTGACCGCCCCCGTCTCGCTGCCCCCGTCAGCGGCTGGGCCAGCCTGAGCAGCGTCAGCAGCCATCAGCTCGTGCACCACGGCCTTGGCACGGCCGAGCTCGGTCTCGCACTGCTCCCGCTGGGTCTTGAGCTCCTCCAGGCGAAGCTGTGCTGCAGCGACGGCCTCCACCTGCTGCGCCAGGTTGTCACCTGCCTTGACCAGGGCAGCCTCCTTCCGCTTGACGTCCCGACGGGCGATCTGGAGCTTGGCGTCCGCGGGCTTGGCGTCGTGCAGCTTCTTCCGCAGCTCGTCCAACTCCTTCTGGAAGGAGTCGATGACGCCCTTGTAGATGCCATCCACGTCGTCACGGCCCTTGAGCAGCTTGATCTCGGCCGCCAGCGTGTCGGCGCGCTTCCGCAGCGCGGCGGCGCCTGCAGCTGGGGCCTCGACTGCTGAGCCGTCGGTCTCCATGTCGCCGTCCTGCGAGGACTTGCTGCGCAGCTCCTGCTCCAGCGCCGCGATCTTGCCCTCGTAGATCTTCTTGTACTTAGCCTCGGCACGAGTGTCTGCCACGCTGGGCGCGCGCGTCGAGGGGGCACCTCCACCAGCAGGTCGATTGCTGCCGAAACAGGCGCCCTTGTGCAACTTGCATTTTGTACACCGCATCGACGAACCTGGGTTCCACCAGCGCTCGCCTTTCGCATTCTTGCAGGCGTCCTTGCAGCAGCGGGCTTGTCGCGCACGGTGCCGCTGCCGACTGGACCGCCGCGTGGCGCCCTGCTGCCGCCGCCGCTACCCGCAGCCCAAGGGGGCCTCCTGGTCGCCATCCTGCACTTCTCCCTAGCGCCGCCGCGGCAATCAAGTAGATTAAGCGGATGGCGCCCCCCCAGGAGCTCACAGAAGGTCGGGAGGCAGGCCGCGGACTAGCGGCATCCTTTCTGCCTGGAGGCTTGCAGCCCCCCCAGTCAGACACCTTGAGCCAAAATGGCTACGGAAGGGAGGAGGAGGACGAGGAGGAGGAGGAGGAGGACGAGGAGGACGAGGAGGAGGAGGACGAGGAGGAGCAGGAGGAGGAGGAGGAGGAGGAGGAGGAGGAGGA